TTTGTTTTTCCTTTGGGTAAAGGCAAACAATTAACACGGCCAGCCACCCCAAGGGTGAACTACCAAAGAATGAGTGGCAAACGGTGCCCTCTTACAGGAGAACATGCACGTAATGGATTGCACCTGCTTGGCTACATAAAAGGTATGATTTCCGTCCTTCTTTGCAATCTCATTAATAGATCATTTGTGATGTTCATCCTAGTTCGGACGGATACTTATAGATTAATAAAACCCCTTCCTTTCTACATTTTTCTACATTTGTGATTTCCTGAGATGGCAGGAAATTTAATTTTAAAAATTTCTTCGACAAAATCCATTTATTTAAGTCCCCCACCAGTACAAGCCTGCCTCCGCTCCCATCTTCCCATCTGCTCTCAGACTCACGCCGGGCTCGTTGGGGCTGGGAAAAGGCGGTGAGATAACGCGATCCCTCGCGGCGAGATAACGCGAGAGCCACAATTCCCTGCGTTCCCTGCGCCCTGGGCCCGGCAGCGGCTTCTTCCGGTCTGTAGGCTTCGGAAACCGAAAGGACTGTGCCTAGGACACCGCGCCGAGACCGATTCACCTTCACCTGTGCAGAGCGCCAGCTGACCCGAGGAGGAAGCCAGGCGAGCAGTGGAACATGAACGGAAGGGTGGATTATTTGGTCACTGAGGAAGAGATCAATCTTACGAGAGGACCCTCAGGTATGTGCGGGACTTGACTCGGAGCAGGGGACTTGAGGGTGTAATTGCAGAGCAGACATTTGTTTTGCTAACCCGGGTTTACCTGGCCTCGGAGCAAGCAGGCCCTAACCTCAAAGTTTCCTGTAAGCTTTCAGGCACGTAGGAAAAATCTTGGCATCCTTCGTTAGTCAGATAACGGGTCTGAGGACTTGGCTTCATAATCCAGTCGGTTTACCACATGCGTTCACAGCCTGGAAGGGATTCTGTCAGCTAACGGTGCTAGACAAAACGAGAAAAGTCCTGTTTCTAAGCCAGCATATCGCGGATACCATCCCCTTCCTACCTTTGTCTGCTCGATCCCTGTTTCTGAGGGACTAGTTACTTTTTTGCAAAAACATTCAAACTTGGTACTACTCCAGAATTGTTCAGGGTTTTTAATTTTTTGCTCTTTCATTTACAAAAACCAAAACGCTATTTCCTAGGCCCCATCTTCGGAGTATTGGATTCAGTATGGACTTTGGTTTTTGTCTTTTAAACTGAATACCTCATGTGGTTCAGATATAGCCAGATGCTCACTTACCTCTTTTCCATGACACTTTATTACGCTGTGCTTTTGACATGACTACAACTGCCTTTTTTGAAGTTGGTTGCCTTTTCTATAAGGCGGTTTAATTTTTCCATTAGGAGTTTTAGATTTAGGATTACACTACCTAAGGCCAAATCTTTTATCTAGCCTCTTACTAGCTTTGTAACTGATGCAAGCCTTAATTTCTCCTCTATAAAATGGGAATGGTTATAGAATATACTCCTCTGTAAAATGGGAATGGTTATAGAATATACTCAGAGTGTTGAGAGTGAAATGAGTTAATCTCTGTAAAATATTTAGATTATTGTCTGACATGTGTAAAGCAGTGTTTTTGCTACTGTTGTTATTGTTAATGGATGCATGGCTAGGTGACAGTTAAGTCTTGCCAAATACTGTATTTCAAGTACCTCTAATCAAGTACTCTGAGTTCTCTGAAATGTCCTTTCATTCTTTTCTCACTGCCACTACCTAGAACCATCCGTCACCTTCTCTTATGTGGAATTTTGCAATAGTTTACTCACTACTAATAGATCATTCTTTATGAAACATGACTTTCAGAGTTATCCATATTTGTGTCTTCCTTCCTGTTGTTTAAAAAAAAGGGGGGGCAACAGGCAGTTGATCTTACATATAAGATCATATCATAACTTACTGCTTCTCCCAGATTAGATCCTTCCTAATCATTCAACATTCTACACAATTATAGATTGTATCTCATATATTGCCAAGGTCTTTGTTTTATCTCCTATCAATGAAAAGATGGAATGGCTATTATCCCTTGTTTTACAAATAAGGAAATCTTGACTTTTACATCATACAGCTCTTATGGGACAGATTTAAGAATTGGATCCAGGTCTGCATGACTTAAAAATCAAACTCTGAAACACTAGAGATAATTTTATTTTGTTTTGTTTTTGTTTTCTCACTGAAATCTCCTGTCTCTACTAGGAGGTTTTCTGATTTTTTAACAAAAATGTATATTTCAGCCAGGTATGTTAGTTTTAGGGTGTGGTGGCACACACATGTAATCCCGGTGGCTCTGGATTTTGAGACAGGAGGATCACAAGTTCAAAGCCAACCTAAGCAACTCAGTGAGGCCCTGTCTCTAATAAAATACAAAATTGGGCTGAGGATGTGGCTCAGTGGTTGAGTGCCCCTGAATTCAATCCCTGGTGCCCCCCCCCCCATAAAATATATATTTTCTTTCTTTCTTTTTTTTTTTGGCTAATGCTTTGTCTAGTGCATGACACAAAATAATCAGTAAATGACCAAACTGATATAATAGAATAACGTAATAGAATGTGTTTCAGTAAAAAGAACCAGCAAGAAGGTTTGTTTAAGCTTTTGCAAAGTCATAAACAGAATTCTCTAGTAGATAACAATTTGACAAAAAAAGGATGAGGTTGGACATAATGTGTTATAGTGATGGCTAGGAAATTAGCTTAGATACAATAAATAAGGGGAAGAAATAGGTGGAAAAACTCCACGGAACAGAAGAGCTCTGAAGATTAGTCTAAAGGTCAGAGCATGGTGGTGCATGCCTATAATCCCAGCAGCCTAGGAGGCTAAGCAGGAGGACCAGAAGTTCAAGTCAGCCTCAGCAACTTAGGCCCTAAGCAACTTAGCAAGAACTTGTCTCAAAATAAAATATAAAAAGGGCTGGGGGTGGGGTGGGGAGAAGAATTAGTCTAAAGGTCTTTTTAGAACAATCCTTAAGAATATCTAGCCATTATTTGGGGGAAACAGAAATGAAAGATAAGCGGACAGGTGCATCCCACTTTGTGGAGCCGTATGATTAAGTGGATTATATTCAAATAATTGTGAAATTATTTATTGAGGGAAAGACAACTAAGATGATAGAAATGTTAGTTTTAGAAGACACAAAATTAAAGTAAAACTTTAAAATTTATTTACTGTTTGTTACATGTCTACATATGATTAGGAATTTTTGATAGTGAAGGACAAGAAATAATCCCTGTACAATAGGATATTTGTTAGTCAAAAGAACATGAGGGGCTGGGGTTGTGGCTCAGTGGTAGAGTGCCTGCCTAGCACGACGTGTGAGGCCCTTAGTTTGATCCTCAGCACCACATAAAAATAAATGAATAAATAAATAAAGGTATTGTGTCTAACTGCAACTAAAAAATAAATATTTTTTTAAAAAAGAAAGAAAATGAGACTAAGCCAGGCAGGGCAGGCCTGTAATCTAAGTGGCTTGGGAGGTGGAGACAGGAGGATTGCCAGTTAGAGCTAGCCTCAGCAAAAGTTAAATGCTAAACAACTCAGTGAGACCCTTTCTCAAAATAAAATACAGAATAGGGATGGGGATGTGACTCAGTAGTTGAGTGCCCGAGTTTAATCCTCACTACAAAAAAAAAAAAAAAAGAAAGAAAGAAAATGAGAATAAAAGTGTCACTGAAAAACAAAAATCAACTAAAGGTAAAAAAAACCCTGTATGGATGAAGTATTGTTAATTACTTAAATTGCAAGCATTAAATGTTTCAATCAGTAGGCAGAATGGAATAAAAAAGATCCAATGATATTCTGTTTGCAACAGATTCACTTTAGAACTAGAGACATGGGGCTGGGGATGTGGCTCAAGCAGTAGTGCGCTCGCCTAGCGTGCGTGTGGCCCGGGTTCGATCCTCAGCACCACATACAAAACGAAGATGTTGTGTCCACGGAGAACTAAGAAAAAATAAATATTAAAATTCTCTCTCTGTCCCCCTCTCTCTCTCACTCTCTTTAAAAAAAAAAAAGAACTAGAGACACAAATAGATTTATAATGAAAGAATGAAAAAGGATATTCCATTCAAAAGATTGCTGGAATGACTGTACTAATTTCACACAAAATAGATTTAATGTGAAAAAATTACAAGACACTCAGGGGCATTCCATAGTAAAATTTTTATTGGTTCTTTTTAGTTATACATGACAATAGAATTCATTTTGATATAATTATACAAGCGTGAAATATATCTTATTCTAGTTAGGATGTACATGTGTGATGTACATGATGGTGGGATTGATAATGGTGTATTCATATAAATACATAGGAAATTTGTTTTGGATTTATTGCATTGTCTTTCCTTTTATCCTCTCTCTTTCCTTTCTCCCTCTTTACCTTATCTACTGAACTTCTGTTTTCTCCTCTTTCCCCTTATTGTGGTTAGTATACACATATCAGCAAAAACATTCAACCTTTGGTTTTTTAGGACTGGTTTATTTTACTTAGAATAGTTGTCTCCAGGTCCATCCATTTACTTAGAAATGTCATAAAGTCATTCTTCTTTATAACTGAGTAATACTCCATTGTGTATTTATACCACATTTTCTTTGTCCATTATCTGTTGAAGAGCATCTAGGTTGGTTCCATAGCTTAGTATTGTGAATTGTGCTGCTATAAACATTGATATAAACATCACTGATTTTAAATCTTTTGGATTTAAACCAGGTGTGAGATAAATGGGTCAAATGGTGGTTCTATTCCTATGTTTTGAGGAATCTCCATACTGCTTTCCAGAGTGGTTGTACCAATTTGCAGTCTCATTTAATGTGTGAGTGTACCTTTTTCCCCACATTCTTGCCAATATTTATTGTTACTTGTATTCCTGATAATTGCCATTCTGAGTGAGATAGAATGAGATAGAATCTCAGCATAGTTTTAATATGCATTTCTCCAACTTCTAGAGATGTTGAACATTTTTTCATGTATTTATTGACCATCTGTATTTCTTCTTTTGGAAGTATCTGTTTAGTACTTTGCCCATTTATTGATTGGGTTATTTGGTTGTTTTAGTTTGAGCTTTTTGAGTTCTTTGTATATCCTGGAAATTAATACCCTATCTGAGGTACAGGTGGCAAAGATTTTCTCTCATTCTGTAGGCTCTCTCTTCACACTCTTGATTGTTTCCTTTGCTGTGGAGAAGCTTTCTATTTTGCTATAATCCCATTTATTGATTATTGATTTTACTTCTTGCACTTTAGGAGTATTGTTAAGAAAGTCAGTTCCTGAGCTGACATGTTGGAGTGTGGGCCTACATTTTCTTCTAGTAGGTACAGGGTTTCTGGTCTAATTCCTAGGTCTTTGATCTACTTTGAGTTGAGTTTTGTGCAGGGTGAGAGATAGGGGTTAAATTTCATTTATGTAGGAATTTCTAGTTTTACCAGCACCGTTTTTTGAAGAGGCTATATTTTTTTCCAATATATGTTTTTAGCGCCTTTATCAAGTTTGAGGTGACTGTATTCTTGTGGGTGTTTCTCTGTGTCTTCTATTCTGTTCCATTGGTTGTCTTATCTGTTTTGGTACCAATGTCATACTGTTTTGTTACTATAGCTCTGTACTATAATTTAAGGTCTAGTACTGTGATGCCTCCTGCTTTGCTTTTCCTCACTAAGGATTGCTTTGGCTACTCTGGGCCTCTTAATTTTCCAG